TTTTTTTTTTTATTACGTCCTTGCAATTGATGTGAGACCTCACAAGAGAGTAGAGGGTTTTGGTAATCTCAGCATGAGCAATTCAAGTAAGCTCCGAATGGAAGGCTAAATTAGACCTTTACCGTTTTTCGACGTTGGAAAACTTTGAAGATATAGTTTTTTTCAGTCGCCACAATCTCGATATTATTGAGAACGCGGGCTGCTTCTTCCATAACTATCAGTGCAAACCGTGGCTTAAACAGATGTAACATCAAAGCAGACAGAGATGCTTGGTGTATTCTTTTTATACCAAAAGAAACAAACAAACAAACAAACAAACAAACAAACAAACAAAACTCACGGAATAAGAGGATCGATTCCGTGTCTTCTTACTGCAAACGCAAAGAGCCTAAGCACGTTCACCTCAAACGCTGATCCTTTTGTTTTAAACGTATGAATGAGGTTTTTCTCTCCTATTGACTCAGTTGGATCACTTTGGAGGCAGTCTTTGACTCTGCCCGTCAGTGGCAACTCAGGCTGAGAGAGAGACACACACACACACAATATCCCAGCAAAATGACTGGGATACTATTGTTTTAGTTTTAGTAGAGGTTTTACGGCGCTCGCAACTGCATAAGGTCATATGAGCGCCAGAAGATTGGAGGTGTTACAAGAGAGTAACAAACATAAAAAAGAAGAAGGGGGGATAAGGACGATAGATGTTTGATAGGAAAGAAGAAGCAAACCACACCAGAGCACCCGTCAACCACCCACACCGGGATACTAAATGGAAATTGGTAGCTTCTAAAGACAAGTGGGCTAACGCAGTTTTCGGGGGTTTCTAAAAATCTTGACCTGCACCAAAAGGGGGAATTGCTCTACTTATAGGAGAAGTTTGGTTTCATTGCTGTGTATATTTGTTTGGTACTCTCCTTGTCTTTTAAAGAAACTGAACAAGGGTCCAAAACTATACCTTCGATTTTCTCAAAAGAGCATTTTTTGGGATAGCCCCCTTGAGCGTAAAAGTGACCAAGCGCTCATATGACCTTCTGCAGTTGTGAGCGCCGTAAAACCCTGTACTAAACAAACAAACAAACAAAAGTGACCAATTATCCCCACTTCGGAATAGAACTCGGGTCTCCTGCACGCGACGGCAAGGTGCATCATCGCAACACCACAGTCAATAGCACGCTGACCTTGGGATCATGAAGTAGAGTAAGGTGGAATTGAGGTCGGTGATTTAAAAAAACAAAACAAAAACAAAACAAAAACAAAACAAAAACAAAACAAAACAAAAACAAAAACAAAACAAAAACAAAAACAAAACAAAAACAAGTGAACAGATGTCTTCTGTCTGCGTGTTCAGACGTTTAAGCACAAAATGCACATGCCTTTTTTTTT